CCCCGAACAATAAGACTTCAGGACTCTTTCATGCATAAGTCCATCAGACTTCACAATCATACTGTATAATCAGCATTATACTTCTTATGTCTGGATTGTACTGTTCATATTAGAAGCATGTATATAAGTATGTATGTGTTTATTTTAATATTGGAAATTGTAATCATAATAATGTCATGGAGGCAAATTATATGTATGTCTGCAAGTTTGATATCATTTGATAATAAACAATTGAGAATTAAAACTCACCTCGAGGTGAAATGTACCGGTCATTCACAAACACCTGCACCTCACACAGCTGTAGAGTACGGCTGGGTCCCGGGAGCCGGATTCCAACATAGCGCGCCCTAACTCCGGCTACAGGGATGGTCTTTGTCGTTAATTGGCCTGGGTCGAAGTTCAAGTTCCCTCCCCACGTCGGATTTTTCACCACCTCTGGCACATTCCCCAGATGTAGGTTGAACGGGTTGATTCTTTCAGCTTCAAAGTCCATGCGGTTGTATAGGACGACTCTGTGCATTTATAATAGGACAATAAGTTCAGTTTTGTCTGTGTTTTGTCCCCTTACATTACCTCACCACAGTCCAATTTGTTTGCTTAATATCTGTATATACTGAAAATGCAAAAAATGGTGCAAATGTGCTGAAAAATGAAAATCAACATGACTGAAAACTTCATTTATTTGGTAAATTATAAATATTTTTGCGCACCAAAATGTTACATGGGAGCTTAAAGTGGAGCAGCAAAATCAATCGTTGTCTTTGTTCTTCCAAGTACAATTGTACCTCATATTTAAATTTTTCACTCCTGTACTTCTTTTATTATAATTGTGTAACATATATCATATATATTTCTAACATTAATCCAAGATCACATCGTTGTTCATTATTTCTTGTTGTATGGTTTACCGATTCTGTTAATTTTCTTTAATAAATCACTAAGGCCATGTTGATTTGATTATATGGATGACATCCTCCGGGAGCCCCAAAACTGATGCGCGCGTGCGAATAAAAAAAAAGTTTTGCAAAAAAAAAAGTTCATTATGAAATCTACGTGGTCATGAGGGTTGAGCAAATGGCACAGAATATGGTTTGGCGAATAATCTAGTCTTCAAGTTCATTTCTTTACAATTTCGTCTTTTTTTCGTTTGATTTTGGCATTCTACGACATTGGTATGGTTTTTATTATTTTTTTTGTAACTTATGGTATATTTTTGCTCATTTTGCAACTGTTTTGTACGATTTACAATATGGTTGAAAACCTTTTCTTTTTTTTTTGGAAACGGCCGAAAATTCATGCGCGCACGGATGTCATCCATATTATCAAATCAACATGGCCTAATGGCGGATAAAAACATAAATCATTTGTGTATTGGCCTTACCTGTTGACTGAGAATTGGTGACAAAGATCTATCATCAGCCAAGGATCAGGCTGGTTTACTACGGTGCTCATGCAACTGCCGTGGTACATGTCCGTGTTTGTGTTTCCATCAACAACTTTTTCAGGTGTTTTCCCAGTTACGCGGTAGTTTGTCGACGTCCTGCGTCCCTCAGCTACATTGAAACCTTCTGGTATGTCGATAGTCTCCATTGTCGAGGGGTCGGCTGTTTTATAAAATGAGGTCTCGTTAGTTTAAAAAAAATAGTAAGGATAATTTATACACATTACATAGTAACCATAATTGCAGCTGTGTTGCTTTTATAATACCGGGTAATTGTATTACAATCATTATGGCAAAACGATTTGCTGACTACATGCATAAAGCTTAGTATAAAAGAAAGATGCGTGAAGCTGCGAAATCTATAATATGTATTGTAACGAGGGGGGGGGGCTAACATCGGAAGTTTTTTTTAATCACATGAACGGGGTCTTTAGAAAATGTGAAAATTAGCGAAAAAAAGCGAAAACAAAAATAAGCAACAAAAAAAGGCGAAAATAAGCAAAAACTAGCGAAAACAAGGGATAATGAGCCGAAACCATGAGAGAACATCCCAAATATAAAGCAGTCGGTGGTACTCCCACCTTTCAAATAACGTTCGTTTATTTTTGGCCAGAGCATCAACCTGGTGATGTTCATATTTTTGGACGGTACGTTTATTAATTCTGGAAAATCACTTGCAAAAAATGCCAATACGTTTTTTTCGAGACGAAAAAATTTACAAATCCGACTACTGTTTGCTTAAAGGATGTAACTAAACGCTCAAAATTTCTTTTTTTCATGGCTAGGGAACAGGCGTGGTACCTTATAGGTGATTTAAGTCAATTTTCCATGAATAGTAATAGTACCTTACAGGTACTTTCATTTTCCTTGGCTAGTGACCAGTCGTGGTGCCTTACATGTGAGTTCAGTTCATTGTCCATGGCTGAAGATCAGGTGGGGTTCCTTACAGGTGTGACAGGTGATTTTCCTTGGTGGAGAGCTTACTTAATATACCTTAAAGGTGTGACAGAAAGCTTTCCATGTACAAGAGACTAGGTAAGGTACCTTACAGGTGTAACATGTGAGTTTACTTCCGAGTGACCTTTGGAATAGAGTTCAAGTAAACTCACCTTTCATCACCTGTAAGGTATCTTACCTTGTCTCTAGTCCAAGTCCAAGTGAAGGTAAAAAAAAGCAAGGAGTCAAGTGCCAATGCAACGACTTTCAACAGAAACCTACCGTTAATGCTGCAGCCTAGAACCTCCACCCTCATACTCATATGTCCATACCAGGATTGAGGCAGGAAACGCACGTACCGGGCATCAGTGGGACTGTCCAGCAGGTTGGTTACGGGAGTGTACCTGTTGGTGTTGCCTGGAAACACCTAGACATCACAACCACGATAAATAATAGCAATTTTGTTTAGATTCTTTGTATAATATATTAGCTGAAAGCTGATACAGTGGCACGTCAAACCTAAACCCTAGTATATAACAACCGCCAAGGTTCTTTTTCGTAATAGTTTAGGACTGATTGGATTATTTCTTCTGTTTGATCTGGAAAAAAGGGATATCTTTGCATATAACCTACCTCTTCGGAGCCATCGCTACTTGCATACATGATCCAACTAAGACCATCTACACTGTACTGTAGTTTGTAGGAGGTCACCCACTGGTTGGTATGATGATACCGACCCTGGATGATGGTGCCTGTGACGGTCTTCATTTCTCCTAAATCCACCTGAATGAATGGATGTTCTTCGTTTTAGAATACACGTGAAGTACAAGCCAGGAAACTAACTATGTCTAGATAGCGTGCACTGCAAGCTAAAATTAGCCCGCATTATGCACAATAATTATATAAGGACAGTACTATCAGTGGGGCTAAGTTTTGACATTAACATTCTAAACACAACAGATTCGAAGTCATTAACATAGGACATTGTTCGGAAAAGGGAATTCGAACTTTATCACCTTAGAAAAAGCGAAATTGATATCGTGTGTTGTGCAATAATCCAAACAAAAAAAAATCAGGGATTTCAATACAGTAAAGTATATTGTTTACGTTGATGAAGGTTACTCATCCAGGATGGTAATAATGATAATAAAGTAGTTTAATCTTCTCAAGTTAGATGGACGTTTCAGGTGTACATCCGGCACCATTCATCAGTACACTAGTACTGTGCTGTACAGATGAAAGGTGTCAGATGTACACCTGAAACGTCTAAAGATTAAAAATCCATCCAGTTTGAGAAGACTAAACTACTTTATTATTATTATATAGTTAACAACATGGTTCGCCTTATTGAAAAAAAAAACACATCATCACATGTAGTATTACCCATACGATTGTATGAGGAAACTTACTGCATTATTACACCGCGGTTTCCATACCTGGCGATCGCATGCATTACATACCCGTTCATACGGACTCATACCTGCCAATCAAACCCAATATATACTCACTTTGGAACTCAAACATACAAATATAGCGCTAGCATGAATTCGGGATACCTAAATTAGTACGTTCCTATTCCGAAAGTAACAGGTAGAATCGTGATTATCTAATGTACCAAAATGTCTACCAACCTGTAACCATTCCCCGATTCTGTTGTATCTGACTGACCAGGAGCCCACACCAGCAACTCCGTTCAACCGAGCGCGGTAGGGCGCGTGAGCAGCATCATAATGGTAAGAGGATGCGGTGATTCTGTCATTGGGTATGGCGCCAGATTCCATCCCAAGGGAATATGTGCAGACTGGAAGGACGGTACGAGAAATCTCTGTTCAGTTTGCTTAAAAAAAAACATAAGTCGCCTCTCACTGTGGTCGCCTGTTAAGAGCAGATGTCTGTAAAAACCATGCAAATCAGAAAAAAAGTGGCACAAGACTGGCAATGAAAACATACATTGCCATGGCGACGGTGATTGCTGTTAGGGTTATTGTTTGCATGGCACTGTCATCATTTCATGATTTTGAGGAAGACTTGGTACTTGGACTTCGGACTTTGGTTAAGTCTAGACAGATACAGTGCACTCCTCCACTGAGTGCATAGTGAACGAGCCCTAGGGTCACAGAAAGTAGGGCCATCTGGGGCAGACAGGTCTTCAGGGTTCCAGGAATGTGGGCATGGATGTGGATAAGAGAAATGCCTGTGGACATTCCGCATGCCTGTGGACAAAATACCTGTATAAACTCCTATAATTCTTGCGAATTGCACACAATACTGTACCATTAGGCTCCTCCATGAGACGTCGCCAAAAACTTTAAAAAAATCAAATTTTCTCAAACTTTGTGTGGTGATAGGGCCTTGGCCCAAACCTGCAAAAATGGGTAAGTTTTGGACCCCTGGTTACTTGTACAAAAGACGGCACCCAGGCTGCCGAACCTCCACGGAACTCAAAAACAGGTGCCGACTCATGAATGTCACAGAGAGCCAGCGTGTGCCCGTTTGTCGCAAAGTCGCTAATGTACTATCACAAGTTCGCAATCCCAGCTTTGTATTCCTGATTCCTGTGGTTTAGCAACATTTTTTATGGCCTCTGTTTTTTTTAGTGGGGGGGGGGGTCTTCAAAGGAGGCTAATGATTAAACTGTTAACTCACCTAGGGATATAAAAAGCTGTAGTTCCCTTAAGTACGGCTGCCAGCCATTAGGGGTCTGAGTGACGACAAATCTCCAATACCGCGCTGTCCCCTGGAAACCACCGAACACCCTGGCAGTGCGCTGGTCTGCGCCCACTGGTATGTTCGTAAACGACACCACGTCCTTCCAGATGTACGGACTCCCGACCTAGTAGATGATGTAGGTATAAAATTTACACCAAATATGTATGTATCTATTTCAGCTTTGTTACAAAACAACACTGGGTTTGCAAGCATAACAGATCTAGAGGCAACAGAACAGGGCGGAGCCTAATAAAAATAGAGGCATCAGGACAGAGTCTTAACTTTCACATTGTCTAGCCTAACAAACTCTTACCCAAAGTTCAAACGCATTAATTACTTAGTCTAGTGTATGGTGACCAGCCTCTCCCAATCTGTTCTGCCATTGCTACATGAAACCAACACCACAGGGTGTCTGCTACAGCACCAGTTACCATGATGGTAACAGCTGTAAGCTCCATGTCATTAACCTTGTGTGTTTGGAGAAGAAGAAAAAATCTAAAGCACAACAATTATAAATTTTTCCTTTTGCAAAGGTAAATAAATGTAATCTTGGTAGTCCTTCATTGCTGAAGATTGTTGAGTATCCTCAATCACGGAAAGTGTGACCTCATGTGGCTTAATATATACATGTAGTTGTTTATTGCAAATTCCTGCCCGAGGGCTAATTGCATACAGACATTGCCATGAAAATATTTGCTAACAGCAACTTCTACGTGTACGATATAATTATGGAACCTACTATCTCTACTTCAATCTAATAAAGTTGGTATACATACCGGATAAAAAGTAAATATGCAATATGTGAACAGGTGATAGGAACAAGGTAACTGCTATTCTAATCTATTCTATTCTATTGAACTAATCTTGTCATGCTATTAGGGAGTTTGACTTCTTCTCAGGAGGCAGTGAGAGATGAATTGTCCGACTCTTTGAAAAAAATGGGTTGGGGGACTTTAGCAATAATATAGTCTTTATAAGTCTTAATAAGAT